AAACCTGTATGAGTTTCTTTCTTATGTTGAACATAAAAGAAGATATTTTGAAGAAAGCTGGTAATCAAACAGTTGATGGTCCCCACTCACTTCCATAGTATTTCTTTCCCTACTCTGGAAGTCAATAGGGACAAACAACTGTTTGGTTCTTCAAAATATCTTCTTGTGTATTCAACATAAGAAAGAAACTTATACAGGTTTGGAACGACATGAGGGTAAATGATGACAAAATTTTTCTTTTTGTGTGAACTATTCCTATAATTTAAATTAAAATAAATGTAATAATGTTTGCCTTGCTCTAAGTGTCAATTTTAAAGGAACACGCCACTATTTTTGAAAATAGGCTCATTTTTCAACTCCTCTAGAGTTAAACAGTTGAGTTTTACCGTTTTCGAATCCATTCAGCCAATCTCCGGGTCTGGCGGTAGCACTTTTAGCTTAGCTTGACTCTTCTGTAGTTACATCGTGTACTAAGACCGACGGAAAATGAAAAGCTTTTCATTAGTACACGATGTACAGTGGTGTGAAAAAGTGTTGGCCCCCTTCCTGATTTCTTATTTTTTTGCATGTTTGTCACACTTTAATGTTTCAGATCATCAAACTAATTTAAATATTAGTCAAAGATAACACAAGTGAACACAACATGCCGTTTTTAAATGAAGGTTTTTATTATTAAGGGAAAACAAAATCCAAAACTACATGGCCCTGTGTGAAGAAGTGTTTGCCCCCTGTTAAAACTGTGGTTTATCACACCTGAGTTCAATTTCTCTAGCCACACCCAGGCCTGATTACTGCCACACCTGTTCGCAATCAAGAAATCTCTTAAATAGGAAGAAAAAGAACATCATACCAACAGTAAAATATGGTGGTGGTAGTGTGATGGTGTGGGGCTGTTTTGCTGCTTCAGGACCTGGAAGACTTGCTGTGATAAATGGAACCATGAATTCTGCTGTTTACCAAAAAATCCTAAAGTTGAATGTCCGGCCATCTGTTCGTGATCTCAAGCTGAAGCGAACTTGGGTTCTGCAGCAGGACGATGATCCAAAACACACCAGCAAGTCCACCTCTGAATGGCTGAAGAAAAACAAAATGAAGACTTTGGAGTGGCCTAGTCAAAGTCCTGACCTGAATCCTATTGAGATGCTGTGGCATGACCTTAAAAAGGCGGTTCATGCTCGAAAACCCTCCAATGTGGCTGAATTACAACCATTCTGCATAGATGAGTGGACCAAAATTCCTCCACAGCGCTGTAACAGACTCATTGCAAGTTATCGCAAACGCTTGATTGCAGTTGTTGCTGCTAAGGGTGGCCCAACCAGTTATTAGGTTTAGGGGGCAAACACTTTTTCACACAGGGCCATGTAGTTTTGGATTTTGTTTTCCCTTAATAATAAAAACCTTCATTTAAAAACTGCATGTTGTGTTCACTTGTGTTATCTTTGACTAATATTTAAATTTGTTTGATGATCTGAAACATTAAAGTGTGACAAACATGCAAAAAAATCAGGAAAGGGGCCAACACCTTTTCACACCACTGTAACTACAGAAAAGTCAAGTTTTAAATAGGAAATATATAGAAACTCTTTGGTCATTTTTGAGCGAGATGCTAACGGTCTAATCAGATTCAATGATCTATGCTAAGCTAAGCTAAGCTAAGCTAAAAGTGCTACCGCCAGACTCGGACATCGGCTGAATGGATTCGAAACCGGTAAAACTCAACTGTTTAACTCTAGGGGAGTTGGAAAATGAGCCTATTTTCAAAAATAGTGGAGTGTTCCTTTAAAATAAATTTAGTGTCAGTTTTTGGTAACATATAGTTTCAAGCATTGTTTGAGGTTTGACACTGAAAATGCACATAATTTATAAATATTTTAAAATCGAATTTATTCCTGTGATGGCAAATCTGATTTTTCAGTAGTCATTACTCCAGTTTCAAAGGAAAAAAGGAAATAACAAAATATGTTACAATATGAAACCCCTTTACTTTGTTGTACATAAATACAGCCAGATAAATCAATTCCAATGCAAGATGATTCAGAGTTGCAGAAACATGACAATTAGAAATTGAGATCATTTCATGTGGGAAAACCACATTGTCAGCTGTAAAACAGAATCAAGAATCTATTTTTGGGCTTATTTTGTGGTGAAGCCAATTGTTAAGAGAGAATTCTGATTAAATTCCAAGTAAATATGTATTCATCGTTCACTGAAAAGAAACTATTTTGTGCCTTCCACAAAACAAATGTGAACAGAACTACAAAAGCCACGTGACCCAGAGAAACCCAGAATGCCCATAAAACGGAATATACATTACAATATCAATGTGGATGAATACAATAGCATAATTACAAAAAGAAATACAGTACTTAAAACCAAATCACATATAAGCAGATATTCCATCATCAAACATACAAAGTCCTATTGGTTCACCACAAATCTAGATTAACACAGAGTAAATGTAGAATATTCTAAAAAGGTTCGTTCTCACTATCATGTGCCTTAAAACTGCAACAAAACTCTTTCAAAATAACATTCAGGGCATTGAAAGACAAACTAGAGCAGCCTATTGTTCAAGTCTTTACTTTCCTGAGAGACAACAGAGACCTTGAGTGACCTGAAACAACAGGAATGTCAGTGAATCCACCAGAAACTCTTGTCACAGCTTTCCGTCACCTGTAAAGTGGACAGACCTCAATGACAAGAGTTTATTTTCAAACGAACTGATGGCCATTGTGTTTGCGTGGTCTGCAACTGTGAAAACCCAACTATAAAAGAGCTGCTTCACAACATTTCTCTAATAAACATGTAACAGAATTGTGCACATTTGACTATTTCCATGTGTTCAGTGTCTTCTTCTATATGTTACATTGGGATGTTCCCTTCAGCAGTCCAAAACGTCTGGTTTTAATCTTCAGCATGTGTTGAAGTGGCCATTATTAAGTGTATTAACTGTGACTGTGCAACAAAAATGTTCTACATTCATGCTCATCTATATAAATATAGTGGTTTCATTCTTTGGAATATGTATTTGAATATGTATAATCAGATAATTGTTGTTCAAATTGAAGTTCTTACAACTTCAGACAGTGGATAAAACTTAGTCGGGCAGGGAAAAAGCCAACTTTGTGTTCCACACCAAAGCCTATTACACGGCTCTTCGAAATACTTAAAGGGTTAGTTCATCATGCTTGTGTCATTCCAAACCCTTTCGTTCATCTTTGAAACACAAATAAAGATGTTTTAATTATTACTGAAAGATGTCTGTCCCTCCATTGAAAGTCCATTCCAAAAAACCTTTCCTGCTTCGAAAAGTTTGGTTTGTTCTCATGCATTAAGCAAGTATGGTTGAGCTTCTCTTAAAACATCTTCATTTGTGTTTTGATAAATGCTGAACGAAAGTCCTTCAGGTATGGAATTAATTGAGTAACTGATGTCATTTTTGGGTGAACTATCCCGTTAATTCTGACATATTCTTGTCAATGTTGGCATTCTGTGTCAACTATTTTTGTACAATGACTTTTAAACTATACAACTGAACATTGTCCAAGGCAATTTCTTGTCCCTTTTATCATAATGCAGTTTGCAATAAAATAAAAAGAGCTCAAATTCAATATTTATGTTGTTAAGTAGCGGTGTAATAAGTGGGATAATGTACAGTCATCTAGTCATTATAGAGTCCTGATTGTCTAATCCAGGGGTGACAAATTCAATTCCCAGAGTGCCTGTGTCCTGCAGAGTTTAGGTCCAACTCTAATTTAACACACCTGAACCAAAGTAATCAGGGTCTTCAAACTCACTAGAAACTTCCAGGCAAGCGTGTTGGAGCGAAATAGGGCTGTCACGATTCCTTGATTCAATTCGAGTACTCGATTTTTAAAAATTACTCTATTGCATTTTGCCCTTGTCGAGTAACCGGCAAAGTGACGCATTCCACGGACCGTTCACCAAAGCTGCATGATATATAAAACCCATTTAAAAATCATAATAAAGCATAATGCTATTGTGTATTCTCAAACACTACGACTCAATTAAATATATCAGTTTTATTTACATGCGTGTAGGTTACATAAGTGCATGTCAGAGCGGTTCAGTTCGCAGTAAATGCTGCTCCACACGAACTAGGGCTGGACAATAATTCAATATCAATATGTATCGCGATATAATTTTTTTCAATAACGGTGATATGATTTTTAAACACATTTCCGATATTTCGATATACATTACCAGTTTCCCATACATTGATTTATTTGTGGCGTTTGACTTCGTTGAATAAACATGAGCACTGCACGTTTCAAAATCATAACACGGCG